TTCATTTTTTTATACTGCATTTTGATTTCTATTATGACACATTCTCACTGTTTCATTTCCATGCCCACTAGGGCTAGCAGAAACTATTGCTTCACATAACTCATCCCAGGAACTGTAGTGTATTTGGCAGTGTCTATATGGAATTAAATATGCTAAAATAGAGAAGAATACCTATGTGGATCCTCTAGATGGCAGAACAATTACAAAAAATATACCTTAGGAGCTGGTCCAAGAAGTGTTGGGAGGGGAGAGCAAAGAGAGATGGGATGAGAAGGGGGACCTTCTAGATAGCAAGGCTCTAGGCTTTCCATTTCAAGCAAACCAGGGTGGATTGGCTTTTGTATGCCTTATGTATCTTGATGTTTTATCTAAGATCTTGTTTGAAAGAATGTAACAGAGTTACAAAGATGATGGGATATCACAGGTCAAAAAATCTTGAGTTGTACACACCAACATCAAATCCCAGATATCTGTGAGGGCCAGTTTAGATCCTTTTTGATTATCGGTGAAGTTCTAGGTAACAATATGATATGGCAAACGTGCTTTCCATGTCAGAGCAAAAGTAGAAGGGGTAATTTTGCATATCAAATATGAGGTATTTGCACACCTCATAATATTGTACACTTAGCAGATAGGATCTGTTTGTAGTCATTATTTCAGTATGACTGTGCAGAAAGTTACCTACATTGACTTTTCTGTACTTGTCCTATTTGCTCATTACTAGTGAATTGAATTTGAGATATATTTTAGGATCACTATTCTTCTGCTTGTTTGAGATTGCACTGGAGAATGTATTAGGATACATTTTCACATTCGTGTAACACATCTATTGATTAACTACTCCTGTGCTTACCTTGGGAATAGACTAATGAGATGTGGTCCTCATCCTTGAGGTCCTCACCCATGAGGATGAAGAGTTTAGTAGGCAAGATAAGTGTATAAATAGATTTCCAGTGCAGTCTAACAAGGCGTTATAAAAGATATTATCAAAGTGCCGTGGAAGTTCCTAGGTATGAAAAACTCCTCTGTAGGTATTACCACAGGTTACCCAGAAATTATTGCATGCAGAGGACTGTGTCTTTGCTACACATCTGAAGGAAGACATGCAGCTGATGAAGGATTAAATATTAGAGTAGCACTATGTTATGTACTAAGCCTGACTTAGATTTAGGTTATGCACCACCCCCAGCATATTTAGATTATTGCACCAAGAAATTCTGTAAACAGCTAAAGATTTTTATTGGGATAACTGCACTGGAAACTGTCTTTGACTTTTGCTACTCAGAAGAGCACATGATACATTCATACAATGATAATAAGTAGGAAGTGTGACAACAGTGTGACATTAAACCATGGGTCTATAAAAGTGGTAATGTTTTCTGACTGGTCTGGATTCTTGAGTTATTTCACTAAAACTTCCAATACATGTGAAAAATGGAGGATGGCAAGATCTTCAAACAACTGTTGAATAATAAAATAGTAGTAATTAATCAGTACATAGGACTGGAAAAATGCTTTAAAAATTCTCTTGTATACCATTGTTTCAAGCAAACTAACTATAGATAACAAGATTTCAGCTTGGCTTGTTCATGGAGTTTTTTTTTTTTTTTTTTAACATATAATCTATATAGGCTCTTAGTCTGGGGGGTTAAGATACAAATGACTAATGTTTTGAATTGGGGCTATTGCAGCTAATCGAGGGATAAACTGCACCTATATTCAGTGTAGAAGGGTTAGTTGTTCTGCTTTGTCCTTTGCAGCTAGAGCTGCATAAAAGATAAAAAGAGGAGAGATGGTCTGTATATGTGTATGTTTGTAAGAGGAGTCCTCATTTTGTCTCCTTTGTTGAGCTCTAACTCCCAAATTATTTTTATTATTTTTTGCAAATTTTTATTGAAGACTTTCATAGAACACATTAGTTTTGCTTATTAAAGAGATTCCTCTTTTATGAATTTATATGTCCTTAAAAGAATGTTCATGAGCTCCCTTACCCACCCCCATGTTGCAATACTAGTTTATGTGCCACGTACTAATTAATCTAAGTTATGGGATCACTTTATAATCTACATTTAAGAGTCTCTTTCTCATTCAGAGAAATTCTTTCCCATTTTGAATGTACTGATAATTTTCTCAATTTCCTGAGTAGCATCAGTATTTCTATTCGAACCAAGATGATATTTTGCACCTGTTCCTCAGTTCTGTAGGTTTCCCTTCCATTACTGTCGGGTTGCTTGTTGGTGCTTTCCTCACTCCCATTTTATCTGTGAATTATAGCAACATGATGTTTACTCCTCCTTTTAAATTATTAATGAAGTAAACTGTGAAATAGTACTTTTATGTTTAGTAGTTGATGCTTTAAAAGTGACAAATGCAATGAAAGCATCTTTCTCTAATTCGATTCCTGTCATGCATCTCTTTAGTGTCTCTGTGATATGACTTGAAATGATAGTGCTCACATCTCTTTTGTAGCTAATTCACACTGAAAGGATATAATCATCTGTTTGATATCACAGTCACTTCCCCAGCTACAGATTGTAATGTCAGAAACCAAAGATTATTCTCTCTCAGCAGGAGGAAGCTGGAGAGGAGATTAATTTCTATGATGAACCATCATCCTTATTCAAATTTGGTCACTTCATGGAGAAAATTAACCATAATAAGGAACAAATATACCGGCTAGTTGAAATATTGTTGAATTAAGCTCAAAAAACTTTTCCATTATACTGGAATGAAAGAAAGTTTTTCAAAAATTCTAAGGAAAAATTTGAAAGTGACAGTATGCAGATAGCCGTAAATATTTATTGAATTCGTAGTGCCAGTCCCTTTAAATAAATGTTAACACTTAAAAATGAATTTTAGGGATATTCTAATTTTAGATACAAAACTGTTTCTTGCTATTTCAGACAAAGACAACATGAATCTAAAAAAGTTAACAGACACTAAATGGTGGTATTTTATTTTGACCTATATACCTACTTTTATTTTGTCATAGTTATAGCTTTTGAATGACTTAAAACATGTAGAATCCAAGGATATAGTAACAAATATCTTTGCAAGAATGTTGTAGCCAAAATATTTGCTCCATTTTTATGGAATGAACCAGTGATACACAACCTTATAACTTTTATATATGTGCATAAAATACATTTTAAATTATAGAAACAATTGGGCAGTCATTTAGTACTTCTATGAATGTTCAAAATCTTTTTGTATGTTAAATCTGTCAATACAAGGGAAAAACTCCCATAAAGAAACCAAATCTTCAGGTACTAGCATAAAATTACTTATCCATTTGTACCCATGAGATGCTAAAGTTGAAGCAATTTTCCACTTTTTAATACATCTTTGACAAAGTTAATTGATAAAATTAGCTAATGTTTTAATTTACTTTTTCACTAAAATAAAGAGGAAAATGTAAATTATTCCAAATGACTATAGAGTTTTTTTTGAAAGCTATTATTATTTAAACCAGGAATCATTATTCAGAATGGATTATTATACAGAAAACCTTGATTTAGATAGGAAAGAAAATGAAGATTCATTGGGATTGATACTGATCAGGGCTAAAGGGTAGGAAGTAGTATCTGTGCTCATTTATTGCCATTTGGAGATAAGTCACAGAAGCAAAGTTCCCAGCCTGATGGGACATGAATCTTTGTGTACATTACAATGAATAAATAAAATCCAGAAGACTTCAGGAATATAATTTTATACCCGCTTCAGTTCTGTTTATTGGAAGCTAATGGTTTAAGTGTAATATCGTTAATATCATATTTTTGCTGAAGTTAATATGAGTTGAAATATTGGTTAATATATTTCACTTACAAAATATATACGTATTTTTGAAGCTTGTCAGTTTACAAAATATATCACAATAAGGAAAAGATGAAAAGAATCCTTAAGGGTTTAGGTAAGTTTAAGTAAATAACAATACTTTTAGTTAGGTCTTGTATACAAAGTAAATATTTTGAAATTCCTTAATAAACACTTTCTCTGCAACAAACTGGTACATTACACTGTTACTACTTGTATGTAAATTGCTGCTTTCCTTCGATACTGGAAAATGAGTGAATTTCTGTAATGAATTCAGATACAAAAGACTTATGATAGTTAAGGTTATATGAAAACTAATAAGGTTGAATTTTGGCTAAAAATTCAAGGGAATTAAAATTGTGACAATCCTTTCTGCGTGAGTGTGTGTGTGTGTGTGTGTGTGTTGTGTGTGTATGTATGTGTATGGACAGTCTCTTTAGAAGTCTCTTGATGGGGTGATTTCTAGGGAATGTCTCAAAGGCATTGAAATTCTTTGATGGCTTTAGTAGTTCTTTGTATTTTACAGTTTGGACCATTGAATTGAGTTAAAGCTTTTGAGGTATTAAAATACCAGGCATCTTTTTGTTCTATTGTTAAATCAGGAAAATGTCCTCATTTAGTCTATTATGAAAATATCCCTAGTATCTTTAGGGTGAATTAACCCCATTCTACCCAAGTGTTACTGTTTTACTTTAGTGTGAATGACAGTGACATCACAGCCTGCTTTTCTTTTGTCATGATAAAAATCATTGAGCTTTGTTCTTTTGCATTAATAGAAGTAATATTAAAAATGAATTAATTTTTCTTTGCTTTACCAAGTGCCCTGGGAAACAAGTTTCATTTGAATATGCTCTGTAAATAGCATCTGTGAATGGCTCTCATGCCCCAATCGGGGCTCTCTCAATGCATTTTTTCAAGCTATTAAATAAAATTGCGATTTCAAAAATGAATACAAAGGTGGGACAAACCCAGTGAAAATTGAATGGGATTATTTGGGTGTTATATAGTTATGGATGATGAGTTTATGTAGCATAAGTAAAAACAAGTGTTTACATCGGAAGGCTTGAATCTGCGTAAAGCTGAAGGGAGAATTGCATAAAATTCAAATCTCTTGGCTCATTCACAGAATCAGCAGGTTTAGTTTCAGTAGTCAAGATATAAATTAATGTTATAAAATTAAATCTTACCTGGCAGTGGTTTGTTTGAAGCTCAGTAATTTTAACTCTGGCTGGAAATAGTAAGCTTCGATACCTGAAATGCCTTCTCTACTTCCTTTAGTGTTTTACCACTGTTTGATTTCTTGCAGTGTCTCTATATCTGTATTCCTGGTAATCCTGTAGCATTAGTTAGGGCAGCATGCAACAGATGAGGATTCCATTTGGATAGGATTATAGAATAGAGGGTGAATTTTGCCTTTCTTTATCTGATAACTGCAGTTGATCTGACCACGGACAACTTGAGTGTTCAGAACTTATTAAAAATTCATTGTATGTTTCAGCAGTGAGAAATCCTGGTTCTTTCTATAGATGTTCTACCTTCTGGAAAAGTTCTGTCCATATTTCAGAATTTTACACGCTCCCGAATCAGGTTGCTTTAAGAAATTATCTGGACTAGAAGCATTGATGATCTCTTGTATTCTCTTGCTTTCCTTGTTTTTCCCTTTACCAACTTTTCAGTCCATTAGATTCTTTTCTGTAGAGGATGATGGGATTTCTTCTGTCCTCCTTGTGCTTCTGTAACACATAGCTCTGGTATACCGTTTTTGAATAGAGAGGGAAAAATCCAAAAGGAAGTACAGCTTTATCATTTCTCTGGACAGCGAGCATACTTGGCATGAATGAAGAGCTGATATGAGCTGTTCAAACCAGACAGCACGCTGATGGGATGACGCTGTCATACATAATACACCCATTAATTACTTCTCCTGATGGACAGCAATATGCCCTGAAAGGGAAAAGGAAGGAACAGATGATCACATTTGGTTTGATAGGTGCTCTCTGAGCAAGCAGCTTATCACTGAGAAGTGAATCCAGGAAAAGCTGCAGCTTTGGAATGTGATCAGGTAGAATGGGCTAGAGTTGTTTTGGCAGACAGTTAAGTGACGTATCTTGGGAGGGAAAAGAGAGCTGAGCACAGATTTAGCTGGAAAAAGGTTCCAAAATGCTTTTGAAAATGTTTATTTTCCTCTGTTAGTCCTTTTGGCCAAAAGAAATACTCTGTAGTTTACCTATGTATTATTTGCAGAAATTTTGCTGAGCTCTTTTCTTATGATATAGTTTTCCCTAGAGGGAAAATAATTTTTTTAAAAAAAGTCTTTAAGACATTAAAGTATATCGTGAGTTTTAAAAATTTGTAGGAGGGAAAAGGCCACTTTTTTTTGTGAAAGGCACACTTGTTTTTGCATGTCTTTTGGGCACATGCATTTGTTGCTTTGGAATAAAGCGTTATGAGTCATCACTTGGTATAAATTTTAGTAGGGTCTTCATTTTAAAATGCTCTTAAATTAGATGGAATTCTGACTAGCAGTATAAAAGAATAGATCTAGAAATGCCAGCTTTATAATTTTTGTACTTCATTTTTCTACGTGTCCTTAGAGTCCTTTTAGAAGTTTCTGGACAATAGAATGCTTATAAATGTTTTAAAAAGTTATGAAAAATTTCAAACTTAGAAGAAACTATGGAAATATATGAACGATTATAAACCCATTACCCAGATTCAGTAATTACCAATATTTTGACACATTAGCTTCATTTATTTTTCTTAGTTGAAATATTTTAAAGCAAATCTCATTTCACCCTCACATACTTAATTTAGTATGTATCTTTTTAAAGTACAG